CCTGCCTGACCCTCTGCTCCTACTTCAGGGAGGCTGCGTCCCAGCTGCTTGGCTTCCCCAGACTGCATCCTCCATATGCCCTCAGCCCAGCCCCACCTATCTCTGCATGCCCTCAGTCCCAGCCCACACCCTTCCTCAGGGCCAGCGGCAGACTCTACTCTTCAGTGCTACCATGCCAAAGAAGATTCAGAACTTTGCCAAGAGTGCCCTGGTAAAGCCTGTCACCATCAACGTGGGGCGCGCCGGGGCCGCCAGCCTGGATGTCATCCAGGTAGGTAGGCACTCCCTATGGACCAAGTCTCTCACCTATGAGGGCTGGATCTGGCAGGGCTCCCTTGAAGTTGATTGGAGCAGAGGGTTCACTTTGTGGGCACTGGGGGTTTCATTCAAAGCCCCTGGCCCTTAGCCAGAGCCATTCTTAGGCCCTGCTGGCAGGATGCTCTCAGCCCAGATTAGGGGCCCAGCCTATGTGGCACAGTCATGGCTGATGAGCCTAACCTCCTGTGTGTCAGGAAGTGGAATATGTGAAGGAAGAGGCCAAGATGGTATACCTGCTTGAGTGCCTGCAGAAGACACCCCCACCTGTGAGTGCTGCCAGGCCAGGCTGGTACCAGGGTCCCCAGGATGAGGGAGAGGGTGGTCGGGACAGCATGCTGGGGGAAGGTTGGGGGATGCCCAGACAGAGTCAGCCCCCCTGACTCAAGTTGGCTTTCCCGGACAGGTCCTCATCTTTGCAGAGAAGAAGGCAGACGTCGACGCCATCCACGAATACCTGCTGCTCAAGGGGGTTGAGGCTGTGGCCATCCATGGGGGCAAAGGTCAGGGTGGTGCATGCATTGGCATGGACCCTGCTTCCATGGCAGTCCCTCACCTCCTCCCTTGCCCTGCCTGGCCGGCCTACTGCTACTCCCTGAACTCCTACTGTAGCTTTAACAGCTCTTTCCTGACCATCCCCAGACCAGGAGGAAAGGACCAAGGCCATTGAGGCATTCCGGGAAGGCAAGAAGGATGTCCTAGTGGCCACAGATGTAGCGTCCAAGGGCCTGGACTTCCCTGCCATCCAACATGTCATCAATTACGACATGCCCGAGGAGATCGAGAACTATGGTCGGAGGCTGGGGGGCCATGGGTATGGGCTAGGTGGGGGAAGGGTCAGGCAGGGCCCCTATCCCTTTGGCAGTGAGCCAGAGGCTCTGTCCCTCCCCCTGCAGTGCACCGGATCGGCCGCACTGGGCGTTCCGGAAACACAGGCATCGCCACCACCTTCATCAACAAAGCCTGTGGTGAGTCTTTTGCCAGAGCCACCTCAGCTGTTCCCTGGGTCCTCCACTCGTGGCCACCAACTTCTGGCTGCAGGACCCAGGGTGGGGCCTGATGATTCTTCACTACCCCCCACCCCCAGACGAATCAGTGCTAATGGACCTCAAAGCCCTGTTGCTGGAAGCCAAGCAGAAGGTGCCACCTGTGTTGCAAGTGCTACACTGTGGGGACGAGTCCATGCTGGACATCAGAGGTGACTGTGGAGTGGAAGGCACAAGTCCCCAGGGTGGGGTAGGGGGGCAGGGGAGGCAAGAAGGCGGGAACACCACAAAACAAGTCTATGCTGTCTGCACATCAGTGGACTGGGAGGACCTAATGGGGCCCAAGGTCCAAGCCGTGGATCCTGGCCCTCCGACCTTTCTGACCCCCGCCCCCATTCCTCTAGGAGAGCGTGGCTGCGCCTTCTGCGGGGGCCTGGGTCATCGGATCACCAACTGCCCCAAACTTGAGGCTATGCAGACCAAGCAGGTCAGCAACATTGGCCGTAAGGACTACCTGGCACACAGCTCCATGGACTTTTGAGTCTTCTGTCTTCCCTCCGTCTCTCCAAGAGGCCTCAGTGCCCGGGATTCCAGCCACCATACACATACACACCAGCCCCCTGGACAAGAAGCCAGCATCCTCGGCCCAGCTGGCCTGGGCTGGACCAGGCTGGGCCTGGCTACCTGTTCCCTTTGCCCCCCAGAATTACTATTTTTGCTCCCCTTCACCCCTGCTACCATTAAAGCACAAGCCTCTCTATCTCAGCCCCAGCCCTGCCTCTGTGTTTTGCCTGTGCTGACCCCTGAGTCCTGGGCAGGCCTCAACCTCTGACCTCCAGAGACCCTCTGAGGCAAGTCATTGGCATCTCCTGTCACCACTGCCAACACCCAGCCTGCTGGCACTTGGCTGTGGAAGGAGCTGCCTCACTGGTGCCCCTCTCTGGGGACTCAGGTGTCTCTTCTGGGCTGCCTGGATTTCTGACTCAAGGAAGGACCACATTGGTGGGCAAGGGGAAATGGTGGGGTTCTTTGGTTTCCCTGGCTGGTTGTCATAACCCCCAGCCTTCTTCTTCCTGTCAGTTATATGAAGCTCTGGGGGCTTCTCCTGGGGCCCCTTGGGAGGCAACTTCCTCCCCAGGCTCCTCGCCCACTGCCTGCCTGCATGGGCTCTTGGTAGGAAACTGTCAGCTCCATTCACTGAGGCAGTGGCAGATGCCACAGGGACTGCTGCTCAGGCCAGAGGCGCCACTGATCTCGCTCTGTGCCCTGCTCATTGGTGGGCCACGAGGACCCAGACAATTCAGGTGGACACCTGCCTGGGAAGCTCACAGGTTAGTGGGAGAGAGAGACTCAAATGTGAACAAACATGTAAGGCAGTCACAGGACTGCTGGCAGTTGAACTAGAGTTTCAGCATCTGGCAAGAGGTGGGCAAAGGAACGGCACTGGCAGTGGCTGTGGGTCACCCAGTTCCTCTGTGCCAAGAACTTGCTGTGTAAGGCCACATGCTTATCCCAGGGGGACAGCAGTTGCTCAAGCCATGTTTGTTGCTTAGTGTGTGGCCTTGGGCAAGTTACTTAATTTCTCTCAGCTTTGATTTCCTCATTGTTGAGATGGCAATGAGAACAGAGAGGACGTGGTGTCTGAGGCTGGTGGAACTCATAGCTGCCCAGGCCACAGCAGGCACAGAGCCAAGTGCCAGGGGGCCCTTAGAAAACACGTCCTGGGGCCGGCCCGGTGGCGCACTGGATAGTGCGCCGCTTGGGAAGCGCGGCGGCGCTCCCGTCCGAGGGTTCGGATCCCACAT